CACGACCCTTGGGTAAGTGATGCTACAAGGACGACATGACCTTGGCATAGTGTGGGATGAGTGAGGCAATTAACACGTATCACTTATGTCAAATGTGGCATGGCCTTGACATAGGGTTAATTGTAAGATTTGTGTGGATTATGAATGTGATTGTGGTTCCTCACACTAATGACCAGGGATGGCACGACCCTTGGGTAAGTGATGCTACAAGGACGACATGACCTTGGCATAGTGTGGGATGAGTGAGGCAATTAACACGTATCACTTATGTCAAATGTGGCATGGCCTTGACATAGGGTTAATTGTAAGATTTGTGTGGATTATGAATGTGATTGTGGTTCCTCACACTAATGACCAGGGATGGCACAACCCTTGGGTAAGTGATGCTACAAGGACGACATGACCTTGGCATAGTGTGGGATGAATGAGGCAATTAACCTGTATCACTTATGTCAGTTGTGGCGTGGCCTTGGCATAGTGTTAATTGTAAGATTTGTGTGAATTATGAATGTGAAAATGATAGTGTTAATTGCAAGATTTGTGATGGATTGGTGTGATTGCGAATTATGACGTGAAGATGATGCATGATTGATAAAGTTATGATATATAGAAATGCTTGTGAATATTTCATTAAGTAATGAGTTATAATGAGATTATGTTGTGTTTTTCCTTATGTGCTTTACATATAGATGTTTTCTTTTCTCATCGTACAATTTGTGGATGTTTTAGGCGAGGAAGATCCGGCTATGAGTGGCACGCTCTGATATTGTGATATCGGGGTAGAGGATTTCTAGGACATGGATTTTATTTGTATATGGAGTTGTACTTATTATTTTGAAAACATTTTGTAACCTCTTATGTTTTATTTTCCAAGTTTCATTTTCAAAATATTTTGGATATTGAAGAATGTTTCTAAAGGTTTTTATGTGAACCCTTTTACCGATGTTGCAAAATTTATTTCCTTAGTTTATTTACATTATTACAATATATGTGTTGGGGTAGTAAGGGTGTCACATTTAGTGGTATCAGAGCAGGTCAATCCAATCGGCCATGAGTTATGAGTCTACTATGCTTGTTTGGTAGATGAATTGATTGTAGAACTTGTTGATATGCTAGTGTGATGATTGAATAAGTTTGTTGTTTATTTAATTATAGTATAATTGTTAACTTTTCTGGGAATCAAAAGAGTAATGGCAGGAGGTAGGAATGATCATGCAATCGCTGATGCTCTACATGCGATGGCTCAGGCTCTTGGTACTTTGAACCAACGGCTAGATGTAGATTGGATGGAGAGATTCCAGCGAAATAATTCGCCAAGCTTCCGTGGGGGTTATAATCTTGATGGAGCTGCTAACTGGATTTTTGAGGTTGAAAAGATATTCCAAGCTATACGATGTCCTTTGGTGCAGAAGGTGACTTTGGCTGCCTTCATGCTTACTGGAGAGGCTGGGGTCTGGTAGCAAGGTGCTTTGCAGAGAATGATGGCTGCAGGTACCCAAGTGAACTGGGAGAATTTCAAGCGGCTATTCTTGGAGAAATACTTTCCACGAGATGTGAGACGTAGGAAACAGGTAGAATTCCTTGAGTTGAAGCAAAGAGAGGATTCTGTGGCTGAGTATGTGACTAAGTTTAAAGACCTGGTTAGATTCTATCCCATGTATGATGGTGTGGGTAATGAAGAGGACAAGTGTGTGAAGTTTGTAAGTAGTCTTCACCCTGAGATCAAACAAGTTTTCAATTACCAAGGGATCACTCAATATCATGAATTGGTAAACAACTGTTGAGTCTATGGTGAGGACAACCGTGCTAGGGTAACTCATTATAAGAGTGGAGGACCCATGAAGAATCATAATAAGTTTGGTTCATCTAGTAAGGGTAAACCTTACACCAAATCTGTCGGGGATTCGAGTTCTAAAGTGGATAATCAAGGTTCTGTGCAACAAAGGAGCCAAGCTCCAATGGCTAGCCAAACTTCTAGAGGGGGGAGTATGGGTTCTGTTCCACGCAACAACTGCTTCAACTGTGGGAAGCCAGGTCATAGGGCAATTGAGTGTCGGACGTCAAGAGTAATAACATGTTTCAACTATCAAGAGAAAGGACACAAAGCTAATGAATGCCCCATGAATAGGAAAGGAAGGGTGTTTGCCTTGAGTGGTGCTGAAGCTACTCAATCCGAAGACTTAATCCATGGTATGTGTTTCATCAATGGAACTCCTCTAATTGTTTTGTATGACTCTGGTGCGACTCACTCTTTTGAATTAATAGTAGAGACACCAACTAGTGGTTAAGTTTATACTTTTGATGTCTGTTTAAAGTGTCCTTTGAGTATTGATGGTAGAAATTTCATGGTTGACTTAATTTTTTTGCCTCTAAGTCAGCTAAATGTTATTCTGGGTATGGATTGGTTATCTTCCAATCATGTCCTTTTGAATTGTGCTGATAAATCTATTATTTTTGGCAAGCCTATTGAAAAAGTGAGTAATGACTATTTGACTGCCAACCAAGTTAAGGTATCTAGCATGTTTCATAATTTTAGTTAAACTATTTACGTCGGACCTCCTAGGGTCTGATGTAAATTTTAACATCTACGTCGGCTATGCATTGTGTCCGACGTGGATGTTAAAATTTACGTCGGACCCTACTAGGGCCGACGTAAATAATCCACGCCCATTAAAAGAAGGTTTATCCGGAATGGATATTTCAAAAACTTCCTTCTCCCACGCGTTGTGCAATAGAGGCCACACGCGAGAAATCCCTCCGCCTCCTCCTCAAATCGTGGCTGCCCTCGCAGTCGGAGCCACCATGTGCCGCGAGTGGTCCGGCATCAACGCCCTCCGCCTTGACAAGTTCTACCTCCTCTGGAGCTTAGGAAGGTTGGGGAAGAGGTTGATTCGCGTGATGATGTTCTTTTTCTTCGGACGGTTGCGTTGGTCATGGGTTTTTCTGGGAGGTTCTATGAGGTGGCATCTTATGCTGAGTGTGTTCACGGGAATAAGAAGGTAATGTTTGCATTGCATTCTGAGTTTTTGAAGCTAGAGAAGGAAGTGGCCAAGTCCGGGTTGCAGAACGGGCCGCTCTCCATTCATAACGGGTCGTTCTCCATGCAAAACGGCCCGTTCTGCTTGGACAACGGGCCATTCTCCAACTAGAACAACCCGTTTGCTTGCAATCATTTTTCTTTTTTTTTTTTTTTAATTTTTTTACAACTTTTTACGTCGAACCTTGTAATGTCCAATGTAAATTTTCGTCAATTTTCACACCCGACGTAAATTTATGTCTCCCGCTTCGACGTTGGAGGTTTTTTCGACGTAAAACCCCTAAAATAACCGACGTAGAATGTATATTCTGTACTAGTGTGTGATAATGTGATAACGTTATATATTGCACCAGGTCTTGTGTGACATGCATCATAAGCCTAAAATATTTTGTGACGGTAGGATACAGACTATGTTGCCAAGGAAGATCCCTTTAGTGTAAAATGTAATGCCCTTCCTATGCTAAATAAAAACCATTAAATATTACAAAACATTTTTCTATACAAATATCATGACTTAATAAACTAAGTCCCCATCCTATGCTATGGATTTTTGCATTTAAACTTCTAATTGCACATCCAATTTTTCTCCATCATGAGATCTCTAGTATCTAAGTTTAAAAATATTTATGGGGTTAGACATTTAATTTCATCCACGTCTCTCACAAACTAATCATACAATCACATAAAAGTTTATAGAATTAATTATTAATACACATGCACCAACATAATTATATATTTCACCAATAACAATCCAAATAATGTAATGTGCTTATGATATGCAAATTTTGACTTAAATATGCTTTTTAAAATCATTTTGGCTCAATACTCCATGAAGATTTTCCCCCGAGTGTTTAATGAAGCTAGAGCTTAACATCAATCTATCCAGTGATTCGACAATGTCCTACTAAACACGAACAAGTAGACAATATTCAAAGTATTAGTGCACCTAACAAGCTATCACGACACAAAATCAAATAAAGATTGGTCATTTATGAGATTGCCAATGCCTAGACTCTCCATATACCAAAGGTTTATCCCCAAACCAGAGGTCCCATCTTACTCATTCTACTCAAACCCTATTTATTATCTTCTAACATAGGTAGCATAAAACAAATACTTCAATCAAACTTTCATAACCATATCAAGCTCTTTCTCTATATATTTTTTATTTCCATCTTGTACTGCCAACCGTCCTTAACAGTACCCACTATCAAAATCAAACTCTTGCCACCAATGTCTCGGATAGTAAATGTCAAGAAAAGAATTTCAGGAAAAAGCATCATTTTCAAAACTCATTCTTTTTCTATCAACTATCCTTGATATAAAGTTATTTCTCAAATATTTTCATAGACTTTTTTCTTTACCCCCTAAAACTTTTTTGACTTAAAAACCACTTTATGCAATATGCAACATGCATTCCTATTTATCTACCACTTCAAAAATCATTCTCAATCAAACTTTTTAAATACAATTTAAAAAATTTCAATAATAACATCAATTCATAAACAATAAACCACTTCAAAATTCAACCTTAAAACAACAAAATTATTTCGGCTCTTCTAGACATGATGTAATCAACAATGGAAGCATAAGTATTCTACAAGGAAATATGTACAAGATTTACAATAGAATGTTTCCTTGTAGTTTTTCAACTTTGTGTATTTCTATATGTATCTCTATACAAATTTCTTGATGTGTATTGCTTTTATTGCTTCTATTTTTTATATGTGTCACCCTTTTTTTTTTTTTTTAGTTTTCTGAAAGCTTGATTCTTTTATTGTAGCTACAAAGATGATGGTCATTACAACAACTTTGAGTCGAACTTACAATTTGCTTCACGAGCTGCTTCGTCTGGCTTCTTTGTTGATCCTAAAGATTAACCATGATGCATTTAATGCGAGCATTCAATGTCTTTCAACAAAATGTGTATCTCTTATATGACCTAATAGACTACTTATCATCATTTCCTTTTAAGTTGAGCATGGCAAAAGCTATGTCAGCACAAAGTAGTTGAAGTTAGTGTAGAACAGTCTTTTGTAGAGCCTTTTTTGTGATATTTAGGATTTTGTTTTTTGTTTTTGACAAATATTTTTTCTTTTTCTCTTATAACAGATTTTGAGAGTTCTAAAGCTTCTTTCTTGTTTGATTTGTTAAGGAATAAAATATTTAATGAAACTTAATGTTAATTTCATTTGGAAGTATACATTTAATGCATAGGGATGGACTGTATGTTTCATTTGATTTTCTTCATCTTACAAATAATATATATTTTTCACATTTTTTCTGACATAGTATATCTTTATAGATATTTGACTTTGCTTAAAAAGAAAATCTTTTGTTTATTATCATTAAAATTTGAGAGATTCAAGATCGTCTTTTGACTTAATATACCTCAATATAGTTTCTCATAAGTTAAAATTAAGAAAAGAAAGGAAGAACAACAAAACCCTCAAGGGTAACCTTCTTTCCTCATATCCTTGCTCCATAGTTGTTGGATTTGTTTCTAAGAGTCGACCTCAACTTGAAGAGAGAGTGAAGATGCTTCTAAAAGGATTCGATGTAGAAAAGGCTCAGTTCCTCAATCCAATTTCCCATTTGACTTCCTGACATTTTCAAGAGCTTGAATAAAAGAAAGGCCTGCTTACCCACTTCAACTTCAAAGAGGATTTCTCACGGGATTGGTGTAACTATCTTTCTCCCACTCGATGGATTGCTCCTACTGACCTAGCTATCTTACTCACTGTCTAGCCCGCTCTCCCTTACTTTTTTCTCCCTAGCTTGAGGAGGGAGAGGCTAGATGGAAGAAGAGAAGGCAATGCCTCATCGTTCTTCGTTTTTGATTTGCTTGTCCATGTTTTCATTTTCACGTGAAGGAAGCAAAACAACCTTAGTCTTAGTCTGCCCTATCTTTTTTTTCGAATATCCCTTTTTGAAGCTTCAAGCCAAGGCAATCCGAGACCAGTATGGAAAGCCCAAGCCTAGAGTTCAATAGTCAAGTTTGTAGCAACTCTAACTCTAGCTACATAACCTCGAAGCTAGACGCCCTATCTTCCTCGATCCCACTCATGTTCGGACTCACTAACCATTCCCTTTCTCTTTTTGCATGTATGATTTCTTGGTCGGTCATTTCCTTTCGCTTTCATGCAGAAGGCCGCCAAAAAGAATTGTTTTAGATAATATAGAGCGGTTATGGTGCCATTTGCGAAGAAATGAGTTCGCTTTCTTTACTACTATGCTCTTTCTCCCGTCTCGGACGTGATTTGTATTGGATGCTTGATTCCTTAGTAGAGCTATTAATTTTAGATGCGGAACCAGAGCAAAGCTAATGGCTTACTTCATTACCTTAAGCCCAAGCTGGGACATTCTCTTAAGCTTAAAAAGAGTATTTCTTTCCTGGGATAAGTGGAACTGTTTACTTATATTTGAACTACTCCGAATTCTTTTCACTCTTTATGACACTAGTTCAGGAGCATATATCTTGCTCAGTTGTCTATCTTTGATCTGTTGATACTATCTTTCTCCCTTGAAAAACCAGAACTTGTAAGTAGAGTTATTCCCCAACTAGGACTTGCGGGCGAGCTACCCTTGGTTTAAAGCCCTGGTTGAGAAAGACTTTTCTTTACTAGCCGTTCCCTCTACCTGTCTATCGAGCTTATTAGTTCCGTTCATTCCCTACTGTAACTATAAGAGCTCAGTCGACTACCTAGCTAAGCACCCTTCGTCCAAGTATTCTACCGGTATCCTCTTGGTCAAGAATGGCTAGTTGCATGGACTTTCATCTAACATAACATGTTCAAGCCTAGCATGGGTAATCTCTAATAGCTGGGAGCAGAACCTTCCCCCTGAAACTTGTTGGACTCGAACCAGCACCTCTGCGCAAAAGACAAACTAGATGAACTACCTTTACTCAACTCGTGGCTTTACCCGGTTCGTTGTGCGACCTAAATCCGGGGGGTCCTTTACTTAAATATGGGTGTGATTTTGACCCTGTTCCAACCTAGCTAAAAATCCAATTGGAAGCCCCAATTGTTCCAAATGACTAAGCACACAAGGAATGTGTGATAGGTAGTATAGAGCATCAGGAACACAAATACATATTTTTTGAGCACGCGCAAAAAGTCAAGGACAATTTTATTTGATTTTGCACCTTCTAACATCTCGAATTGAGAAAGTCTCGTCATGCTCTTCCATTCATGATTTTATGTTCTCGTGGCTTCTTCCCCTCGTTCCTTTTCTCTTGGACATCTCACT